GTAGTATCTCTCTCTCTCTCTCTCTCTCTCTCTCTCTCTCTCTCTCTCTCTCTCTCTCAGACGTCCACACTGAGGCGGTCCAGGCGGTGCTGGCGCGACATGTGGAGAGGAAGGTTGCCGTGCCGATGCCTTCCAAACGACGCTCGCTGGTGGTGCAGACCTCCATGGACGCATACACACCTCCAGGTGAAGGACACAAACACACACCTGCACACATCTTCAGTTATTCAACACAACCTCCTGATGAGAACAGTTCTTGGAGAGAATTCATTAAAAGCAAACATTTTCCTGTGACTTTGCATTTAAAAATGCTTGGAAAGCGCTGACACACACACACATTGGTTTTCTAGGCCAAACTGGGTTGCTCTAAGAATAAAACGTGACCCCAGAGCGGCTGCCCAGTGCCCAGACAAGACTATATAGTAATGCTGTGTCTCTTTCCATCAGAGGAACACACTCATTCCACAATTAAACTGCAAACATGCACATTTTCTGAAGCATGCCAACACCACTGACAGATTTACGGTAAAAATAAACACAGCTGCAGCCAGTAAACTACGTTAAATGTGTCTGTCAATCAATAATAAATCAATCAATTGTACCTGAATGTAAAGCACCTTTTCGTACAGGCTAGTACAGATGACTGACAAGCCCAGAATACGACGAATAGAGTGCCACGGTGATGCGTCCTAAAACCCGGAAGTGAGTTAGCATTTTACTACTTCCGGTTCCTTCGCCAAAAAGCAATGCAATTTCTCCATAGGATTTGGGAAAATATCTGGAAATAAGGTCTGTGGTTGAGACACATTTAAGAGACGTATCACGTTTTGTTCTACGACATGAAATAGCAGTGACCCCAATGGTGTTCTCTGAAGAGTTGACGTGTCTGAGAAACGATGGTTGTTACCAAGTGGCTGAATAGGACTACAGAAGTCGTGGAGGCCGTTGTACGTCATTACGCCAAACACGTAAATACTCCTCTAAGTTTGTTTGCCCTGTTCTGCTTGAAAGCAAGTACCTGCCTCCTGCAGACTGTTCAAACAAACGCTTCAACTCGTACCATTTAGAATCTGTATGGTTGAATATGGATCTTAAGTCGGCGCGACGTTGAAGCAGCGACCCTGCTGTAGTTCCTTTATAGCATAACGTTAGCATTTTGCTTCTGGCGACTAGATTTATGATTCGAAAATGATAAAAGTAGGGTAGACATGTGGAGATTATCCGGCTGAACAAAACGTGATCCGTCTCTTAAATGTTTGTCAACCACAGACCTGATTTCAAACTATTTTCCAAAATACTATGGAGAAATTGTATTGCTTTTTGTCGAAGGAACCGGAAGGAGTTTACTTCCGGTTTTAAGACGCGTCACTGTGGCACCCTATAGGAACTGGACAATGGGATGTAAAACGTTGTGAATCAGTCAGTAAGATAGAATGCAGTTCTACAGCTTGAATAACAAAACATGTACAACTTAAATACAATACATCAAGTTAATACTATAATGTGAATCATGCAAAGTCTGCCTGAGAAATAAGTTTTGAGTTTAAAGATCTTAACACTTCAGACAGACTTTACCAGCAGCTTGGAGCCTGAGAGCTAAACGCTGACTCATTGCAGGTGAATTTGACCTTTACCTCAAATATGAGCTCATTGGAACGAACATTAATCAAAGTTGATGTCACAATTTGGGTCTTGATTGAATTTTAATGAAGGAAATGTAATAATTTTCCTCACCGTTAATTTGCTTTTTAACCTTTTGAGAAAGGAATTAAGTGAACCTGACGTTTCCCCAAAGGCTCACATCACATGTAACAATCTAGAAAATATGGATGGAGAAATCTGCTCCTGCTGATACTTATATTAATGATAGTATTCGACTGGACCCTCTACTGTAAAAAAGTTAATGAAAAGTAAACTGTTTTTAAAAGAAAATGCAGCTTCAAGACACTTACACATAGTTTCTTGTGACTTCTCTATGGAAGCTGATTTGTGACGTATTGTGTCTGCGAGTTCAAGAAACTGCTACTGCTTGACTTTGAACTATTGTTTCACTAAACTGAAAAACCCATATGCAGCTGTGTTTATCATTAAAAGACTCTCATGTGGGAGCTGCAGTCAGACTCTCTGATTAAATAACATCTTAAATCTCTCTCTGGATTTCAAATGAGGCTTACAGTGCCAGTTTAGCTCTGTGCTTACTAACACTGCAGAAGCATGTGCACACCAACATCATTTAAATGTATATGTGATATGTGCAAAAACAATAGTTTTAACAAATTGCTATAAAAAAATAACTATGTGCAGTTTCTCAGAATTTAAAGTGGATGTCAGTTTGTGTTATATTTGCTTTCACTAGCCCGACACACATCAACCGGTAACTAACGTGTTTATTTCAACAACAAAAAAGAAGCCAAAATCACTTTTACAAAATGTAATACAAGAGGAGCTTTCCTTCAAGTTGACATCATTTGTTTACTAAAGGTGGGGTAGGTCATTCACTTCAGAAACACTTTTTGTTGTATTCCATGGAATGCTCTTAACATCCCGATAGCAATAAATACATTAAAAATGTCATCTGTGGAAGCCGTGGCCCTGTAAAAAGCACGACCAATCATCTGCCTCGGCCCGCGGCAGATGATTGGATGGCCTACCAGCCTGTCAACCTTCCATCTCGTGCACAAACTTATCTCGTGCCCTCATTGGTCATGTGTGTGCTGGAGGAGTGGCTCTGTAAGGAAGTCTGAAGGAAGGGGCAGATGTTTTTCGGCGCATTCGAGCTGGTTTCTCCATTCTTACCTACCCTACCTTTAAGTAGATTTAAAGCTATAACTAGCATCCATTTAGCTTAGCTTAGCATAAATACTGGAAACGGGTGGAAACAGCTAGCAAGGTGCTTCCAAAAAGTATAACACAAAGCAAATCTACAGCTTATTCTTTAACATGTTACATAATGTGTATTGACAGCAGCGTGAACAAACGGAAAAAGGTTGTATTTTTATTAAACCAGACGAGAGTGATATCGCTCCTCTTAGCAAGATTTAGCGAATATTCCCAAAATGTCAATGCTCTGTGTTGTGTTGATGTTGTGTGAAGGTTTTCTGTTAACCCTCTGCCTCCCACAGGCCTGTCCCCCCTGTGCTCGGACTCGTCGTCGGGCTCAGAGGGAGAGGCGGGGCCCGGGGACGACATGTCGGCCATGGAGCACTGGATGAGCCGCCCGTCACACTTAGGCCCCGCCCACCTGGGCTCCACCTCCTCCTCGTCCTCCTCCACGCAGAGCGGAGGCAGCGGCAACGCCGGGCGGCTGGCCGACTCGCTGGCGCACACACACATCTCGCACCTGGCGCACACACACATGGGGCACACACACCTGGGCCAGCTGCACCACCAGCAGAGCCACCTGTCCCAGTCCCACCACGGTACGACACACAATTAAAACTGAGACATTTACTGTAAATATATGACTTCTTTTAGAAGAAGAACATGTAATAATTGTGTTACTGAATTTCAGTACAAAACCAAAAAATAGTTTTTCCCATACTTTGTTATATACGTTACTAGACATTTGGAGACTTGACTGAAAGCTCCTGCATTCAAATCAGTAATAATGTTGAGGATTGTGAATCATTCAGACTTTTTATGCCAGCTTTTGGTACTTGGCAGTTTTCTCTACTTGCCAAGTACTTGGACACATCACAGTATGCAGATTTTCTCACTGTCTTTTTAGCCAGTAACAAACCTTCTGTTGCTTTTATTTGACCATCGCTTCAGTGCTAACCTTCGTATAACACTCTAACACACCTGCATGTGTGTATCCAGGTATCAGCCACCTGTCTCTGAAGAGGAAGGGGGCTCTGAGTGTGGCGGAGAACGGAGGATCACTGAGGAGATCCTGCGAGTTTGGATCTGACATGCTGTGGCCCCCGCCGCTGGAGTCAGACGGTACGGCCAGCACATGAGGGAAAGGGATTATTCAGAGCAACATAACAGTTAATAAAAAAAACGAAGTTAAGGTTAAATGTTTCCAGGAAGACAGGTTCCTGTAGGTTAGAAGTGCACATTTCTAATGTTGATTATAGGCCAAAGTCAAAACTACTGATAGATAAACAGATCATAAAGATTGAACAAAGGTCTTAAGAGTGGTCTACACTTTGTTTTCTTTTGATTATAAAACATCGGAAGTTACTGATAAGCTTCTTATGATTAAATGATTTGCTTCGATGTTTATTTCTGAATAATTATGTTGAAGGAATAGACATAGGCGGCTAAATAACTTTTTTTTGACCTGACGCTGCCCGCCCCCGGCGTTAGGGTTAACTCAGTGAAAGCACCGCCTGCTGACCAATCAGAGCTCAGTGTGCGGAGTTTAAATCTATCAAGTCATATTACAGGATAAAGAAAATACAGTTTAAACTGCCGTATGCAGAGAAGACGCCGATGTGTCGCACTTATCATTCATATCACACTGATATCACATCATTAATCAGATCATCGATCATATAATATCACAATATTTCCTTATCTGAGTCAGCTTCAAGTTCATATTTGTCTAATATTAGTTTACTTTTCATTAATGAAGTATGACGCTGCGTTGTCAGTACACTTGTCCCAGATACGGCTCTGACTTGTCCTTGTTTGTGATTGGTCAAATGTTGCTAGCCCCGCCCCTTTCACGTGAATGCGCTCTCAGCTTGAGAAAGAAACCCTGGCTTGATTTACCGAGTTGATAACCAGCGTCGTAGGACCGCTTAGCGAGATCTCGTTTGTTAGGGTTAGTTAAGATAACTCAAACATATCCAGGGTCTGTTGAACTGGCTTCGTAGTACAGGGCACTGGTGGCTGCATGGCAACGCTAATGTCAAAGACACAAACATTATTATATTTTAATT